TGTCTAGAGTGCAAAATGCGGTATTGATGACGCGTGGCTTGTGTTCTGAGCGGGTCGTCAGTAGTAGTCTGTTGCTATCCCACGACGACTAACCTCTCCCACCAAGGCAACTATCCCCCCCTGATCACATAATTACATGCGGTTGTTGATTATCATCCTAAGCTCTGTGGAATCTTGTGTTAGCCATCGTTTCGGGTTAACTGTTCTCGTACAACTCATTTATCTGAAGACGAGCTTGGGGAACCAGACTCGGAAATTCACGCAATATGCCTTATCCTTTTCCAGTGGACTTTATTGTTAATAAAATATATCTCTTGGGATGCCGATATTTCAATAAAGTTGCATTCCTGCTTAAGATGCCCTCTCCGTAAGCAAAATGTCTTCAAGTTTTGACAATAAAAGGACGACGGAAGCAAACATTAAAATGTAATAGCGCACGAATAAATATATACGGCCTTTTTGGTGCACATGCATGCCTGGCATGTCCACTTTTTCATTTGTTTTTATTCTGTCTTTAGAACGCCGTAGACACCACATTCCCATGGTCAGTTGTACTGGTTAAGCAGCTAACTGCCTTTCCTTTTTTTCTGTGGCTCGACTCCATGGCTGCTATCGCCGTGCCAATTCCCATTTACGACAACCTTCTGTGACTGTAGGCACCCGCCCGCTCACTCAACCTTTTGTTCTTTTAGGAGGTGATTGGCACTGCAATTGCAATTAATCTCCTCAGCGTCGGTAAGATTCCTCTCTGGGGCGGCGTACTCATCACTGTCGTCGACACCTTCACCTTCCTGCTAATCGACAATTATGGTCTTCGCAAATTGGAGGCCTTCTTTGCCCTACTGATCTCCATCATGGCTGTGACTTTCGGATACGAGGTGAGTGTGTTTGTCTCCTCCAAAGTGAATTGCGCCTTCGGCCAACTTAATGCTCAGTTAGCTTTCACTGCTAGCTGAATGCGCTTGCAGGCTTTTCAACTAGAAAGTCTAGATCTTTTACTTGTCAAATTCCAAGGGGAGGGCCTTCTATAATGGCGTAGATCGTTGTTGTGAGCATCGAACTTCTGCCCCCCGGGTGGTGTTATTTGAGTAATGCTAATAACCTACCGGTAAATTGACCCTCAGTGCTTCTTTCCCGTGTGGAAATTAGGATTTTTGGGTTCGTAACGTACGACCACGATAATCACAAGAAAATTTTACCAAACATTGCAGATTTGCTCCTATCCTTGGACAAAAAACCTAGCCGACTGCAGTCTTTTGAAGAAGGTTCATGGATTAGGATTCACACGTAGAAGGGAGAAGGGGCAAGGATTGACGAGTCCCTAGTTGTCATACTATCATTACTGATGTGTACGAACAGTTAGCTGTTCGGCTTAGTGCCCTTGGCGAATTCAATTAGAGTGTGTTCCTTCGGTAGTCTAAAACGCAACAGTATTTTAAGTAATGCACCTCATATACTCCTAGTTCCAGCATTTTGTCCTATGCAGACCGTGATTATAGGGGCTTTATGGGTGGGAAATTAGGATAGGCAGTGGAATATCCTTTAATAACTGCTATATGCACTTTTATTTTATTGTATTGAGAAATTTTGTTGATTTATATCTGTAGATTTTCCTAATCTGTACTATCTTTTAACTTATTGCGGAAAAAGCCGATTATCAAAATGCAGGTTGCTTGAAATTCCTGATAAAAAATAGAACTGGTGGTTAGGAGGTCGTCTACTTCAACTTACCTGAAATCAAACTTACCGTTCTGGAGTTTGATTAGTATAGTCCGCAGTGGGAAGCGCCGCGCACAACTTCAATTTACATGCGAAACAACTTATTCCCAGTGGCCGCGGGAACCAAATTCAACTACATTTTTCCACTTTCCACTTACTTGTACAAATTTCCATCACTGCCTATCCTATTTCCCCACCTCCGAAAACCCCTATAACACCCGTTTCCGTAGGACAAAATGCTAGGACTAAGGGTATATGATGTGCACTACTTAAACTACCTTTGTCGTCTAAGAAATATATAGATTACTTGAATGGTGCTGTAAACAGTACAGGGGAACATAATCTTCAACAGTTGGATTTTTAAAGAATAGAAGGATAATATTTAAACTCGTTAATTGTTGCCTCAGTAGCATTTCAGATAGTCTCCGTAAAACCATGTGTGCGAACGTAAAAAGCGGATCAAAACATACGCTAATGAGCTAGGGCTTACGACCGAGCGGTAAGGACACACCGTTGACGATGATGGCGTCTTTGCCGGTGTGTGACATTCTGCCTATCTATCACGAGCCAGGATGTGGTTGCTGGCGGAGCCCGAGAGT